CAACCCAAAATCTTCCTATCACGATTCCAGTATTCAGTGCCCTCTTGCCTCTTCATTAGTAATTTTTTTCACACCATTTAACTCCATGGCCGACAACCAATTGCCAATTCCCATAGAGTATATATGTTGCATTAACGCAATGGCGGTTGTGGAAATGAGAAAAAGAGAGAGTGAGAGAGAGCTGTCGAGGGTTTAGGGTTTAAGAGTTTTAGCGCGGGATCGAAAACTGATAAGTGAGGGAGTGGAAAGTGAAAAGTTTTACCCCCAAAAAAGGAGGATAAAAATAGACTGTTTATTAACGGATTGGACTGTCGAAATGAAAATGATCTATCAAAAAGGGCCTGAATTTGATCAGGAGGCCCAAAACTAAGATGAATCTGAGACAATTGTTCTGGCGCCGCTTGTTTTGGTAACATATATAGCTATAAAACCCTAATTTACTTATTTTGAACGTGGTAGCTTCATCTTTATAAAAAATAAAAAAACGACGTCATACTAAGGGCCAGTTTGGCATTGATGTGCTGTGAAAATAATCACTGTCAAATTTGCTGTATGAGAAATCAGCTGTGAAATAAATCAGTTTGGTGTTTGGTAAACTTTTTGTTAAAAGTGATGTTGAAACAATAATGAGTTTATGAGTATTTGGAAAATTTTTGTGTAAAAGTGTTTAGACTATGTATAATGACTAGAAAGGACATGCGGTTATTATTTTTAATTGCAATACCTAAAACCTGAAAATTATTATTCATTAAAGAGCACCGGTTCCCCATCAGCTTTCCGCATAAGCGGAAATAAAATCACCCCCTGACCAGCTTCCTCAAATCGCTGTGGCTGACAGCAATTATTCATATAATCAGATTATTTTTTCATTTACCAAACAGCTAGGTGGAAGAAAACTTCATAAGAAAGTGATTTTTGCTCCAAATAAGCAATGCCAAACAGGCACTTAGTGGGAATTAAACCTTCTTTTATACAATTAAGATCAGCTCCTGAATCAAATAAGGCAATCGTGTTGAATTCAAAAATTTTAACAACTATAGTAATGTTAGAATACCATTTCCTAAAATGGACTTGTTTGATTAAATTAATAGTTTGTTCTTCCTGTAAAGCTGTCTCAGAATTAGCGGGACTGCTGGAAAATCCTAAAAATACACTATTTCTATATTTATTTAATGAATTAAATCCTAAAATACAGCTTGGATTAACGCATGACCGACATTATATGTTAAATTGGGCTTTAAATGTCTTTGGGCTTCCTGTGACTTTTTTGGGCCTCAACAGATGGTAATATACAAAACTTTTTTTTTTTTTTGGTCGAAGTATATACGAAACTATGGTCTAACATGAATCTTGCCAATGTTGGGTTGGTTTTTTATTTTTTTGCCAAAGTTAGAAAGGGGGAGGGGGAAACACACACACACGGATACTACGGGGATTTGAATCTATGACCAGTTGGGAGCACACAAAAGGTCTGTGTCAATCCAACTAACACCCCATTGGTCGATGTTGGGTTGGTTTAGTGTCAATGAATCTGGTCATGAGAAGAAGTCACTTAATTATAGATTGCCTCTCACAAAACCACAAAAAGTCCAAAAATTTAATTCAATCAAGCTATCAAAATATAAACTGCAAAATTCATCATTATTTACCTCAATTTGTCTTCACATAAAATGGGAATGAATGGTCTAGGGATTTTATTCAAGTGCCGCCATTGGCTCTTAGTCATACTGAATGGTTTCGAGTGTTTACCTTGGCCATACCTTAGTTCTAGTAATGAATTTATTCTTATGTGAATTTAATTTAGCATTGGGATTTTATTTAATTTACCAATTTATAGCAACATTGTTTGCAATGTGCTCAAGCTTTCCTTGATGGGTGAAGGCTTTTTTCTCCCTTACCTAGGAAACTTATTATTGTATGTTCAAATTTCAAAACTTTCTCAGGTGCAACCAAAACTTCCTTGATGGCTCACAAAGATCTTTTTGTTTTTGTTGAAGAAAAATGTGAATCTCCCAACATAAGTTCACCACCACTAATTAATTAATGAGGTTTTATTATTTTAGGTTTGACCCATTCGAGACATAGTGTCTCTTGATTACAATCCCTTACTTTAAGGGAACACCCTTTGATTCAATAATAAAGAAACAGAACGTGTGTATTTGGTTTTGCGGCTGCCCCTAAGTCGAACCTCAGGGTGCCTACATATCCCCTGCGGGAATCAAGTCACTCACAGTTCAAAGAATCGCAATGAATGAATGACTCATTGCGAGGGAAGTTTGATTTGAATTGTATTGAGAAGTGTTTGAGTGAATTTAGTTTTAAAAAAACTAGGGATTCGATATGGAATTGTGTTTTGGACAGTTGCATCTAGATTGAATCTCTATATTGCCTATGTAACCTTTCAAATGGATCAAACCAACGTAGTTCAGATTTATGATTTGGAAATTAGCGGGTAAGTGTGGCTCACTAATTAAGAATTCGTGTATTTGAGACAATTTTGGAGATTTTAAGATTTTCACAGATAAATAACCCAATCGAAAAATTGGAAATTAATAGGTAAGTATGACCCACTAATTAAGAATTTGTGTTTGAGAGATTTGTATATAATTTCATTGAAATTTGCATGGGTAGATGACCCATGAAAAATTGGATGGTTTTGAACCACTTTTCTTGTTGTCAATGTCCAAGAAAAACAATGAGTAATTTTGATTATCCTATTAATTTTTCTAAAAATTGACAATTGCACTTGGGAAAGTGTACTGGCAAAATTTGGTTAAGACAAACCATGGATTTAAATTTGGTTGCGGTTGAGTCTATTGGGATGTTAGACTGCCTACGTACTCTTGACGGAATCAAACCGACGTAGTTCCAAGAAAATTGTTTAATTTGCGTGGCTTTGTATCACTCGGGTATTTGATGTGATTTTGTACCACTTGGAGTTTTGGCGTGGTTTTGTACAACTTGAGTCTTCATTGGGAATTAATGGGACTTTTGTTATTTGAGTCCATTAATCCACAACTTGTGAATTTGAGACTTTCAACCAATTGTTCGTCAATTGGATTTTTAAAGACAATTCCATTAAACTTGAGTCCTGCAATGGAATGATCCCGTTGTACAGGGGAGCTGTAGACCATGGGGTCGTGGATTGTGCAGCGGCTTCTAACCAGTCTTCTTGGTCCCAGTTAATTTTAAATTGGGGTAATGACTTGCAAGTGGCGTGGAACAAAAACTAAGCCTCTTTGGCTTTCACATGATGGTTCCCCACAACAACGCATTTTTTTATCAGAAGCTTCATGCAATGGAATTCGGACATAATTCAAGTTCCTTGCTTTGCTGCATGTAGAGTTGCAACCCATCTCTCTTTTTTTTTTTTTTTTTGGGTGGGTAAAACAACCCATCTTTTTTCATAATCTTGGATTCAAGTCCGTGAAGTCCAAGACTTCTTTTTTCCTTACTCTGCTGCAAGTCAAAGAGGAAGAAGTCCTCTTCCTTTTGAATTTCACAGGCGGTGGGCTCACCGCCACACTTACTCTTCATTTTGTTTTGCTTCTTCAGCATGGCTGATTTTTTTCACGTGGTGGGCTCACCCTCGCCAGGCTTTTTCCGTTGATGTGCAAACAGCAAATATTTTTTTTTTCTACTGCATATATTGTGAAGCTTTCATTTAAAAGACAATTAACTTGTCTTGTTGTCATTGGAGTGGAGGACAAAAAGCAGTCGGTAAACTTTATGTTCAATTTTAGGAAACTTCCTTGATGGCTCACAGAGATCTTTTTGTTTTGTTTTGAAAATGGCAGTGATAGATAAAGAAGATGGTATCATTAGCTAGGCACTTGAAGGTGAAAGATAAACCGCGTGGGCCACCTGGGAAGAGGAAGAGCTTTTCCACCACACCGATTTTCCAAGAAGCTCTCCTTTTCTCTTTATTCCATTATTGCCTTTACTAAAACCTCTTCTCCACTAATCCCATAACAGTATTATAGCATCTTCTTCTCATTGTTTTCACTTTGGGCGGGATGGAAATCAGATAATTAAAGAAAGAAAGCAGAGGATCCGTCTTGGAAAGTTCCTTTCTTTTTATATGTATATTCCTCCGTTTTCTCAGTAAACCAACAGAGTATTTATGTCTCAAAGAAAAGCACTTGCTTATTAGCTCTGGAAATTGAGAGCGCAACAACTGGTTTACTGGTTTGCAAATACTTGTCATGGAGATCAATCTTCTTTTGAGCCATCTTTAACACCTACTAGTGACGGATCCAGAAATCTTACCTCATAGGGTCATAGTATAAAAGTTAGTGAATGTGGTGGCTGGTTTTGGCAGTGACCGCAATGGAAGAGATGGGGGGTTAAGGGTTTTGGGGGGAGATTGAGGGGTTTAAGGTTGAGGAGAAATAGAAATGGGGTTTGGAGTAGATGGATTTCGTGATTTTATCCGATAATCCTATTATGTTCCGAATTTATTAGAGGAACAAATCTGAATGTGGCTATATCTGATCCCATAATAATCCGATCTGTTTTGATATAATATAGTATTTATTTAATTTTTGTAATAAAATATATTGACAGATTAATTTGTTTACTTTCTTATATTTTAAATCCTATGTTTTAATAGCCCAATTGATCTTCAAATCCATAAACCCAACTTTACCCCTAAGTCTAAAGCCCAACTTCGCAGCCCGAATAATAACCCTACCTCTCTTCCACTAAATCCTATCATTCTTCTCTCATCTCAGCCGCCTCCATCTTGAAAAAAAAAAAATTTCTCTCTCTCAACGTTCCTCTTCTTCATGGCTCTACCTCTTTCTTCTCTATCTTTTTCTTGATAGAGTTTGAAATGAAAAGTAAGAGTGAAGGAACACAAGAAGCGTGCTCTTCTTCTTCTTCCTCAGGTGCGCAGCGCTGCTTCTTCTTCCTCTCAGGCAAACCAGTGAGCAGTTGGAGGTCATTCCCGTGTGGTTGTTCAACAGGCTCAGCTCAGGTGGACCTCCAAGCCTATTTCCATGGCTTTCATGGGGTCGTTCGACCCCAGTGACCCCACTGTAGATCCGGTCAGTAGTAATCTTTACAGGCCCTCCTTGAGTTTCAGGGATGAGGTCGTACAACTATAATGTCTACGACGAGCCCATAAAGGTAGTGGTCACTTAAAACTTGATAATAACCATATCCATAGCTAGCCTAACAGTTTTTTTTGTTGCATATATTTCTTGATTGGTATCTTTAATTTTTAATTGAATTTTTAATTAGCTAGTTTCTTTTCTTCTATAGGCTACTTCAGAATCAGCAGAGTGGATATTTTTACCCACTAACCTTGGCCTAAAGATGTTGTCAGCTGCTTGTGATTAGGTTCCTCCCCAAGAAAACCCCACTATGCACTATTTGGTATTCTGTTGGCTATTGCAGCTGTGCTCATTTCCATCTGGGAGCTAACAGCATACCAAATAGTGCATAGTGGGGTTTTTTTGGCACTCTTCCTGACATTTATGGACTAGTTGCTGACATCTCACAGTGCATTTGCTGTACAGTTCAGTATGTTTACTGCCTTCGGCATGCTGATAATCCTTTCAAAGCATCCCTTTTGCCTGCCATATTTCTTCTCTGTTTAGGTGGTTCAAAACTAAGTAATAACCGAAGGAACGCCAATACCACTGATAACAACATCTTGAGAAAGCCTTTGGATAGTAATTCCTCTACCTCTACCTCTACAATTACTAGCACTTCACGTTCAAGCCCGCTATTTCAGGCTCAACGGGGTCTTCTTCGATCCAGGTGGAGAGCCCCTCGGATGCGCTGGACTACCAATCTACACGCTCGCTTTGTTCATGCTGTTTACCTTTTGGGTGGCCATGAAAGTGAGAACTAGTCCCTGCTTTCTTCTTTAATTATCCTTTGTTTATACGTTGTCTTCAACAACTTACAGGTAAAAACAAAAATAAAATGAAAAAGAAGAGGACTTGTTATGATTTTTTCTCCTGTTAAATCCTTTTCTTTTTCTGTTAAATTAATAATGTTGTGGGTTTATACATTAGGGGCTACACCAGAGTCAGTTCTTGAGCTTATGGATTTCAAAATTATTAATGTGCAGATTTATCGGACGGTTTTCACCGCCAATAGAGCAGCGGCCTTTTCAGGACAATCTACTTTTTCCAGTTTTTTATTTTGTAATTTATTTGAAAAACAATTTATAAATGGAACATGTGCAATACGACACAACGTTATGACTTTATTGTACAGGACAATATGATGTCCATGAAAATCCTTCTTCTGGGGATGCCACTGAAGACATAATTTTTGATCTTCAGAACCAAAGAAAGTCCGGTGATCAGCTCTCATCAGCGCAGACTGTTCATGTTCAAGATAGCAAGGACTCCTTTGGAAAATTCTTCAAGGTAAACACAAATTAAACTGCTCATCTGCTGCTTAATTAATTTGCATATTAAGGGCCCGTTCGGTCGCATTTTCGGAGGCTGTTTTCCATTTTCATTCTCAGAAAATGCTTGTAATTCTCAGAAAACATTTTCTAAAAACAGATTCAAAGTTTTAGTTATAATTATGAAAACGTCAAAATGATGTTTTCATCATTTTCACACAATATGGATTCAACATCTCCAAAGACAGCATTACCACCACTGCCAAACAGAGCACACCCCCCCCCATAAACCCCAACCACCCGACCAAAACCCCCCCCACAGCCCCCCCCCCAGCCACTCGAACCCAATCGACTCCCATCCTTTTTCGTTGCACTCTATTTAGTTAAACCATTACATATGATATAATTTCATATTTATTTAAAATAAAGATTATAAGAATACATGAGATTTTTTAATTTTAATTTTATTTATTTTACATTAGAATTTTATTTTATTTTTTAAAATTATGTGTGTGTGTATATATATATATATATATTCTAGATGAGAAATTAATAAAAATGCTTGTGAAAAATAGTTCAAATATTGATTACATGATGCAACATTCTTTATTTCTCTTATCCTCAAATTGTACTACCAGACACATTTTCACTGTTTTTGTTTTCTAAAATTGTTTCAAATTAACTTACCAGATGCATTGTTGAATCTTGAAAATGCAAATTTGTTTTCTCGTTTTCATTTTATGAAAATATTCTCTGAAATCATTCTTCGAAAACGTTACCAAACGAGCCCGAAATCTTTTCGCGGCTTTTTAGTCTTAGATAATACATTCGGAAGGCTTCTTCTTCTTTATTTATTCATTTATTTAGTTTTGGAAGGAGACGAGATGGAAATTTTAAGAAATAATTAAGGGGGATTTTAATGGATATCATGACAGGACCCGACTTGAATTCTCCCTCGGAACTCGTGTCGAACTCGGTTACATATTTTGGCACCTGAACAATGCCGGACTCACTACTAACTTTACACCTCTTACCCAAACTTTAAGAAAAACGGGTCGAGACTTCTATTGAAATTTCAGCAGTCTCCCTTGTAAATTGGACTTTTCCCAAATTTACACCTGCAAATAACGACAATCTAATAATCCCAACTAGCAGCATACACAAGATAACGTGCACAAATTTCACATGGCTTCCGGCCTCAAATTCAGTCCTAAGTGGAAAATATCAGAGCAACTACTGGAGTTAGAAAGGGGGAGGAAGAACTCACACACACGGGTACCACGGGGGTTTGAACCCAGGACCGCTTGAGAGGACACAAAAGGTCTGGGCCAATCTAACTAACACCCCATTAGTCGATGTTGGGTTGGTTTAGTGTCAATGAATCTTGTCATGAGAAGAAGTCACTTAATTATAGATTGCCTCGCACAAAACCGCAAAAAGTCCAAAAATTTAATTCAATCAAGCTATCAAAATATAAACTGCAAAATTCATCATTATTTACCTCAATTTGTCTTTGCCTAAAATGAGAATGAATGGTCTAGGGATTTTCTTCAAGAGCCGCCATTGGCCCTTAGTCATACTGAATGGTTTAGAGTGTTTACCTTGGCCATACCTTAATTCTGGTAATGAATTTATTCTTATGTGAATTTAGCGTTGGGATTTTATTTAATTTACCAATTTATAGCAGCATTGTTTGCAATGTGCTCAAGCTTTCCTTGATGGGTGAAGGCTTTTTTCTCCCCTACCTAGGAAACTTGCTTTTGTGTGTTCAAATTTCAAAAATTTATCGGGTGCAACCAAACCATGCATCTTGTAAACTTTATGTTCAATTTTAGGAAACTTCCTTGATGGCTCACAGAGATCTTTTTGTTTTGTTTTGAAAATGGCAGTGACAGATAAAGAAGATTATATCATTAGCTAGGCACCTGAAAGTGAAAGATAAACCGTGTGGGCCACCTGGGAAGAGCTTTTCCACCACACTGCGATTTTCCAAGAAGCTCTCCTTTTCTCTTTATTCCATTATTGCCTTTACTAAAACCTCTTCTCAACTAATCCCATAACACTATAGCATCTTCTTCTCATTGTTTTCAGTTTGGGCAGGATGGAAATCAGATAATTAAAGAAGGAAAGCAGAGGATCCATCTTGGAAAGTTCCTTTCTTTTTCTATGTAAATTCCTCCGTTTTCTCAGTAACCAAACAGAGGTATTTATGTCTCAAAGGAAAGCATTTGCTTATTAGCTGTGGAAATTGAGAGCAACAACTGGTTTCCCGGTTTGCAAATACTCGTCATGGAGATCAATCTTCTACTGAGCCATCTTTAACACCTAATAGTAATCTTTACAGGCCCTCCTTGAGTTTCAGGGATGATGAGCCCTTAAAGGTAGTGGTCACTCAAAACTTGATCATAACCATATCCATAGCTAGCCAGCCAAGCTAGCCTAACAGTTTTTTTTGTTGCATATATTTCTTGATTGGTATCTTTAATTTTTAATTGAATTTTTAATTAGCTAGTTTCTTTTCGTCTATAGGCTACTTCAGAATCAGCAGAGTGCATATTTTTAGCCACTAACCTTGGCCTAGAGATGTTGTCAGCTGCTTGTGATCAGGTTCCTCCCCAAGCCCACTATGCACTATTTGGAATGCTGTTGGCTATTGCAGCTGTGATCATTTCCATCTGGGAGCTAACAGCATACCAAATAGTGCATAGTGGAGATGGGGAATGCTCCGGCGGTTTTATCATCCACCTCCTCGTAATAAGCTTTTTGGTACTCTTCCTGACATTTATGGACAAGTTGCTGGCATCTCACAGTGCATTTGCTGTATTGTTCAGTATGTTTACTGCCTTCGGCATGCTGATAATCCTTTCAAAGCATCCCTTTTGCCTGCCATATTTCTTCTCTGTTTAGGTGGTTCAAAACTAAGTAATAACCGAAGGAACGTCAATACCATTGATAACAACATCTTGAGAAAGCCTTTGGATAGTAATTCCTCTACCTCTACCTCTACAATTACTAGCATTTCAAGTTCAAGCCCGCTATTTCAGGCTCAACGGGGTCTTCTTCGATCCAGGTGGAGAGCCCCTCGGATGTGCTGGACTACCACTCTACACACTTGCTTTGTTCATGCTGTTTACCTTTTGGGTGGCCATGAAAGTGAGTACTAGTCCCTACTTTCTTCTTTAATTATCCTTTGTTTTTTTTTTTTTTTGGGGTCAAATTAAATGAATGTATCCTTTGTTTATACGTTGTCTTCAACAACTTACAGGTAAAAAGAAAAAGAAAAAGAAAAAGAAGAGGACTTGTTATGATTTTTTCTCCTGTTAAATCCTTTTCTTTTTCTGTTAAATTAATAATGTTGTGGGTTTATACATTAGGGGCTACACCAGAGTCACTTCTTGAGCTTATGGATGTCAAAGATCTCACCTTGGCACATGTCAGATCTCATTTACAGGTGAGCTAATCATTTAACACTGGCTAGTTTTCCTAACCATCATCATGTCTTTAATTAAATGTGTGTTCTTCTTGTACCTTTGACTATATGGATTATAGCTATCTTGCATGTTTGGCTTTTCTTCTAGCTCCCATCTTTCCTTTTCATCTTAGTGTGGCTGTTGAAGTTGAGACACTAATATTACGTACTAAAGAAGCTTAAGTAAAGATGCAGTGTACGAAATTTGCAATATCAGGGGTATTACACATCATTCATATAAAATATTTGAGCTATTTAGTTATATACCAATTCTTAGCACGAGTGATATGGATAAATCTTATATCATTTAATTTTTATAAACAAACCCAAAAAATGACAGATGACCCTATTGAATTTAATTTTGATTATTAAAATACTTTGATGCCCTCTTGAGTGTTTTGGGGTTAATCTTGTTTTAAAAAATCGATGACAGTTTTGTAATTTATAGGAAGTTCGAAGCCAGTTATGTTGTAAATGAGTTTTGGGTGTTTTTAAAATCTATTTCATGTACTTTTTTTATTTATAATGTAGGCCCAGATATTGAGTATAATAGTGAATCTCCCTAAATGTTTCTGTATGTACTTGCACTGTATTTCAGACATGCCTAGACCCAAAAAAAATTGTAAATTTTTTGTAATCACTCCTCTCCTCACTCTAATTTTTTTTTTAATGAACTAGGGGAGGGGGTGTAAAACCCCGAGAAACAACTGGTCAAATTATTATTGTAATGCCAATGCTCTATTATCCATTCTAATATGCATCAAAATTATTAATGTGTGCAGATTTATCGGACGGTTTTCATCGCCAATAGAGCAGCGGCCTTTTCAGGACAATCTACTTTTTCGAGTTTTTTATTTTTTAATTTATTTGAAAAACAATTTATAAATAAAACTGAGCAATACGACAGAGTGTTATGACTTTATTGTACAGGACAATCTGATGTCCATGAAAATTCTTCGTCTTGGGATGCCACTGAAGACATAATTTTTGATCTTCAGAACCCAAGAAAGTCTGGTGATCAGCTCTCATCAGCGCAGACTATTGATGTTCAAGATAACAAGGACTCCTTGGGAAAATTCTTGAAGGTCAACACGAATTAAACTGCTCATTTGCTGCTTAATTAATTTGCATATTAAATCTTTTTGCAGCTTTTTAGTCTTAGATATTCGGAAGGCTTCTTCTTCTTTATTTATTTATTTATTTAGTTTTCAAAGAGGACGAGATGGAAATTTGAAGAAATAATTAAGGGGAATTTTAATGGATATCGTGACAGGACTCTACTCAAATTCTCTCGGAACTCGTGTTGAATCCTGTTACATATTATGGCACATGAATGATGCTGGACCCACTACTAACTTTACATCTCTCACCCGAACTTTGAGAAAAATGAGTCGAGACTTCTACCGAAATTTCGACAGTCTCCCTTGTAAAATAGACTTTTCCCGAATTAACACATGCAAATAACAACAATCTAATAATCCCAATTGATGGTATACACAAGATAACGCACACACAAATTTCACATGGCCTTCGGCCTCAAATTCAATCCTAAATGGAAAATAGCATAGAAACTACTGGAGTTAAATTTACAAATTTAGTTTCCAAAAAAACAACGAAAAGGGAAAATGAAGTTTCCTATTAGGTAGAACCATAGTCTGAAATATCGATAATATCGACGAAATATCGAGGATATTTTGGTTTTTTCGAATCACAGATATTTCGGAACATGTCGGAGACTCAATCTTCAAATGATTTTGCTCATGGACAACGTCAACCAATCTCAGATCCATATGGGTGGCATGTTAACAATTACATGCAAAACTATTCTGGGGATTTATCATTTGATGACTACTTTTCACAATACACTTACACTACGCATAGAGATGATGAAGATAGTGAAAAATTTGAACCTCATAGGAACTCTATTTGGTACTAAATCACTTATGTATCTTACCATACAATGTATAAAGTATAAAATATTGTAGTAAATCATTATATATAAATGATTATGGTGTGTTTAATCTTTTTTTTCATTAATTACTATATATTTTCTACACTCACAGTGTTTGCCAGCTCGCTGTATAATCAACTTAAATAAATTCAATCCATCATGTAATGTATTTCCTTCTAATTTTTTTTTGATAAACTAATAGATAATTGACTAAATAAACATTCTCCAAAATTTCAATAAATTTTTTCAAGTTTTTCTTACAATTTCCGTGGTTTTTATTCAATTTTATCTTAGCAAATCTCACCTTTCAAGCTTCAGACATGTCATGCCTACCAAAATAATGATCCATGTAAGCTAACTAGTCGATGAGTGCTTTAGGATTTAGCTCACCATCAAAATAAGGAGCGTCAACTTTCACTAATCTCATCACCCTTTCATCAGGGTCTTGCTCATCGCCACAATGAAAATTGTGTTTCTCCGAGTCTTGATCATTCCTTCTTCATGATGTCTCTCACCGTCTTGGTCATTCCTTCTATCATGATGTTGTCAATCATGATTCCTCTCTTCTCCATTCACACTGCTTCGTCATGTTGATTAGCTGCTTCTAAGTCTGCAAGGCGACGTTCCATGAGTCTGAGTCTGATAGGACCCGCCCCGAATTCCTCGGAATCCATGACGAACCCTGTGCCTTTTCTGACATCAAACCGATGCTGGGCCCACTTACAAACAACATCCTCTTCTCCAAAAACAAAGGAAAAATCGAAATTTCAGCAGAGTCTCTCCTGAAAAACAGACTTTTCCCAAAATTTCAACCTGTCAAAACACTGTAATAATAAATTCCCAACCAGCAACACGCACAATACAAAGGCACACAGTTTACAAAATAGGCCTCTGGCCTTACATCGAACCCTACATGGGCAATAACAGAGCAATTCTAAGGAATTTCAATTTACAACTGAAAACAAATGTTCAACAGAAATAAAAACAATTAGAAATTGCCCTACAGAAGTTCAGGCCGTGGAAATACGAATCTTGGCTCAATTGCTTGACTCAGATCAAGCTATTGCCTGGAGGGCGCAAACCAAAGAATTGTGAGTGGACAAAAACAAAGTTTTATTATAATTGAAAACAACATACTAACCCCACTGTTTGGAAAACGATGCTAAAAACATGCAATTGAAACCATTCATACGTAATCAATTTAAAACTGAGGTACTCCCATAATCCCGATTTAGTATAATACTACCCAAGTTCAATTCTTTTGATTCTAACCAAACCCCTTCCCTAGATATAGGCTTACAAGACGTAATATGTAAGAAAAGATTTTAAAATAATTAAACGTATACATATATATAAATATATACAAGTAGACCACGAAAACTCTCACGACTGTATAGGGTATATACCCCAAAGTTCATAAGTACAAATATAATATCTATATACGACAACCTCACACCATCACAAGTACTGAGGGAGAACAATCCAACACGGGGATCATTTGACTAGCCCGCAAGGTTTCAACTTTCTACCCTGCGTCTAGAGATAAGTTGTCCAACCGAGGGACTACCATTCTATAAAACACACGTAGGAAAATCGAACGCCATGTACGGCCAAATCAAACCATGTTTTACACGCACAGACCTCTCTTCAGGGCTTACGGCACACCCGACTAAAGGTGTCCAGATCTTTACCACACGCAGGAAAATCCAACACCATGTGTGATAAAGTACTAACAAACAAATAAGCCCACAATCTGGAAAATCCAGCGCCACGTTCGGGTAAAGTAATTAGGGGAGGGTACATATCATGGTACAAATACGAAAGTCATAATGTAAATAACTTCTCAAAAGCATATAAACCATACCCGAAATAATCATAAACTTCAAATATAAAAAATAACAGCTAATTTCATAATTGAAACAATATATAAACTCCATAGTCCAGTCACAGATAATCCCATGCAGCTTGACCCTAAGAGGGTCCCGGCTGTTAAGCTCATGAGTACCTATTTTGAAGAACATGAGGACCAAGTTAATAAAACGCCTTGAACGAGCACTTTAAAACAAACTCCTAACTTTCTCAGGACTCAAAGTGTGTGTACGACTGACGCGGAGTTTCTAAGATCCAACTACATTTTTTGAAAAGTGGAATAATCTCGGAAGACTCCCAGTCAACTGAGTAGTCAAACTTTCCAAATTTGGTCAACCGGGCCTGTGGGACCCACGACCTTCGATTTCCTATCCGAAATTTGTTACGGGTTCAACAAAGTCCGCTAAACACGTTCTGCAAGTTTGGTCTTGATCGAGCGGTCGGATTGCTCTCGATCGCACGATTAGACGGTCACTAGTTTACCTAACCTTAGAATCATTGAATCGGAGTATTCGGGACTCCGTTTCTTGATCTGTGAGTTCCTACAAGATCCTAGAGGTATAGAGAACATCATACTTGGAATTGGAGCCGATTCAATGGTCCTAACATATCGAACCAAGATATCACCTAATAGGCGTAAATCCGCTCGACTGTCATACGATAACCAAATTCAAATTCGAGCATACCGTCATGATCGGGACTACATGGGGATCAAAACATAAGACAATGGGCCACCACCCCATGGCCCACGCAGCTCAACAAGCATTGGCAGTGCGTGGGTGGCCTGAGAAATTTTCGACAACAAAAATTTCTCAAATTACCCAACAATACCTATACATTCAGACTAACAAGACGAGCATTTTTGGTTCTTGGACCACGACCAAAAAGTGGCCGGAGTTAGCTGGATCGAAGGCGGAACTGTATGTGTTTGACCGGAACTTCCCGGCCTCAAAACGGCGGTGGTAGCCCCTAATGATGTCGCGCAACCTAGGGGAAAGCATGAGGGAGGAGAGAGCTACCTGATCCAAGCGGTGGCGTGACCTGAGGTGGCCGGAAAAGTCACTAATGTCGATGGCAGTTTCTACCGTTTCTTCCAGTCGACACAGTTGCTAAACACCGGGTTTTTTTATCGTAGAAAAGGCGTGGGCTGGGTAGAAGAGAGAGATGAAGATTTTGGAAGTTTTTTCGTACGAAATGGTGGCCGGTCGGGGAGGAGAGGGAAAGGATAGAGAGAAATGCGTGGGGAAGCGAAAACAGATCAGGTTTTTAAAAATCCAACTTTGAAAAAATTACGGTTGTGTAACTGCGCTTTCATTAACCACAATTTCTTCATTAAAATTCCGATTTGGGCCCAGTACATGTCTATGAACTCATATCGACGAGCTCTACACTGTCACTCAAATCCAAAAAATATACGGATCGAAATGTAATTAACGTGACACTACCCCAAGGGCAAAATTGTAATTTCACAATTAAATAAATTGAATAAACAATTAATTTAGGTCGGGGGCGTTACAAAGTCAGTTTTCGGATCTAGTGTTTGAATCTGCCATTTGCTTTGATAGGTTTTCCATCATTTGAACAAGACGTTCAATGTCCCTCTCTGGCTTGTCTGTCTTTCCAGGTTTAGTCGGAGCCATCACTTGACACACAACGTGAAGAAACAACTCTAAAATTTTGAACCCAAGGAAAACGAAAACTAGGTTTTGATGCCAAATTTGATGTAGGATATGGGTGAATTGAGTATTTGGGTAATTTAGTGAAAGTGAAAACAATGAAAAAACAAAAAATAGATGGTAAAAGATGCCTTGGCTTCACACCAAAGAACCAATCTAAATAAAATAGGAAACTTAAATAAAATCCTGCTAAAACTTGAAAACTAAAATACCTAATGAAATCTGAAAAATCTAGAAATCCTAGTGAAATATAGAATCTAGAAATTTAATTTTCCTATTAAAATATGGAAGCTAAGATTTCACCCAAACCATAACGATAATGTTGGATTGACTGATCGCTTCTTCTTTCTTTGATAAAAGGTTTGTCATAGATGTCCTTATGAGAAAGCACCAGACAACCACATATTCCTTCACATGCCAATTCTACCTTAATGCATTAAATAATGTCAATAAAAGCCATGGCAATTGTGAAAGCAAATATTTCCGTCTCCAATCAGGGCACGCCACGTGGAAAAGAAGATTATATCTTAAATTAATTAATTGAACCAGTTTATCTGGCCAATTAATTAATTGGGATAAATATCTTAATTAA